CTCTTAAATATAGAGAACAGGGGCGCCTGGGTGGCGCAGTTGGTTAAGTGCCCGACTTCAGCCAGGTCACGATCTCGCGGTCCGTGAGTTCGAGCCCCGCGTCGGGCTCTGCGCTGATGGCTCAGAGCCTGGAGCCTGTTTCCGATTCTGTGTCTCCCTCTCTCTCTGCCCCTCCCCCATTCATGCTCTGTCTCTCTCTGTCCCAAAAATAAATAAACGTTGAAAAAAAAATTAAAAAAAAAATATGGAGAACAAACAGAGGGTTGTTGGAGGGGTTGTGGGAGGGGGGATGGGCTAAATGGGCAAGGGGCTTAAGGAATCTACTCCTGAAATCATTATTGCACCATGTGCTAACTAACTTGGATGTAAATTATAAAAAATAAATAAACTGTAGAAAGTAAACAACAGCAACAACAAAAATCCCAAATCTGCTTTCAACACAGTTGAAAAACCTTTGATAATATTGGGTGATTTTTGATATTTGATAATATCAGAGAGATCGAGAGCATAAATAATATTTGGAATTTTTAAAAATAGAGCATTCACAAAGGAAAAGCTAAGACTTCAAAAATCATTAGAAAATATTATAAATAACTATGACAATACATTTGGAAACTTGGATGAAATAGACAATTTTCTTACAAAGTGTAAATTACCAAAATTAATTCAAGAAAAAAATTGAAATCTTGACTAGATCAATGGTTATTTTGAAAAAAAATGAGTAAGTAATAAAAATAGGCCTCCTTTCTCCACCCCCACCTTACTCTAGGCTCAGATATTTTAAAAGGTAAGGTTTATTGCACTTTTAGGGAATAGGTAATCTCTAGCTTATACAATGTTCAGAGAATATAAAGAGTTGGAAAACTGCTTAATTTATTTTATGAGAGATAGAACTTTTATAGCAAAACTAGTTAAGGAGAGTAGTAGAAAGAATAATTATAGGCCAATTTCATTTAATAACAAAGATTCAAACATCTTAAAATATTAACAAATTGAATCTAAGATTGTGTATTACAAAATGTATTGTACTAGGTTGGATTTATCCCATTAATGCAAGCTTGATTTTAACATTAGACAAAATATTAGTGTAATTCACTACATTAAAAGACTAAATGAACAAAATTGCACAATCATTTCAATAGATGTAGAAGAGTCTTTTTGAAAACAATGTTGCATTCATTCATCATGAAAGCTCTTAGGGAAATAGAAGAAACCTTCCTTAAAGCTCTCTATCAAAAACCTGAAGCAAGGTTACCTGATATTGAATCTTTAGAAACATTCATTAAATCAGAAACAAGACTATGATATTCACTATCATGGCTTTTATTTGTCATTATAGTGGCAGTCCTAGCTAGTACAGTAAGACAAGAAAAATAAATAAGAGACCTAACACTGTACTGTACTGGAGCTGGCTTTAACCTGCTCTTGCAAGCTGATTGTTAAAATTTCAGAGGGTTTGTAATTCATTGACATCGCATTGGTAGCTTGAAGTTGGCCATGTTAGGAGTATATATATATCATGGAAATTGCTAATGGTACAAATCAAGGATTTCTTCCCAGAGAACTAGTTGGTAAATATTTACCAGTAGACTACTGAATATAAGGATCTGAGTGGAAGAAATGAAACTCCCTCCAAGGGAGTGTACTATAGTACTAATAGAATTTAATTTAGCAAGAATGTGAACATAAGACCAATATCCCAGATCAGTAGCTTTCTATAAACCATCAATGATCAGAGACTGTAATAAAAATACAAATCTTATTCACAGCAAAACTGTACAGAGATTAGGAATAAATCTGATAAAAGAATTGTAAGATATTTATGGCAAAAACTTTAAACTTTATTGAATTACATCAAAGAATACCCAAATTAAATATATGTTTTAGACAGTGAGATTAAATATCATAAAGAGGCAATTTCTTCCAAATTAACTTATCAATCTAATTAATATCACATTAAGGTTTTTAAAAAATACAAACTGAGAAGCTGACCCTAAATTTCAGTGGGGAAATGATGAGCTATTTAATATGTGGAGAACAGTGGTTATTCATCTGGAAAAAAGTTAAATTAGATCCTACGTTGTACTGTGCACAAAAATCAATTACAGTTTCATGCAAGATATGAACGTGAAAAGAGAAAACTTCAAACTTTGTGAAACATAGAGGAGGATTCTTGAGATATCACTCAGTATCTTAAAATAAGACATGAAAACAAAGCTATTAAAGGAAAAATATATCATATATATAAACATACGTGTATATATATATATGTTTTTAAAATGTTTGTTTGTTTATTTATTTTAAGAGTTTATTTATTTTGAGTGAGAGATAGAGCAGAGAAAGGGGCAGAGAGAGAGGATCCCAAGAGATAGGAACAAACAATTCATGGAAGAGAAATGTTCATGGCCAATAGGTATATAAAAATGTCCTCAAATTCACTATTAAAATGCAAATTTCAACAATGAGCTACCGCTACTGGTAGCTTGATAAAAATGTTAATATCTGACAGCATTGAGTACTGGTGAAGGTAGGGGAAGTGGGAATTCTTTTACTCTGCTGGAAGGAGTGTAA